TCGTTTTTTGTCAATAAAATCGCTCATTTTGGTCGGAGGAGTACAATTTTTTGTGAGGACATTTGTTTTGATGCAATACATTAGAATCAACAATAAAATCGTTTTTGAATTTTTGGTTAGTTAGGGCCGTTTGCGTTTCAGGCGACGATATGTACATTATAGTTTGTAACATATACATATATCGCATGTACATTAGGGTTATGACTTTTTTGGGCGACAAAATACCATAGCACTGCCTTATAGCCAATACTTTCCCGATAATATAAGGCTATTTTTTAAGTCAATTCGGTCAAAAAACTTCCCGCACCGAAAGCAATTTCTAAAATGCTTTTGTTCGTTATTTTTCAAAAATTATTTTAATAATTTTCATATAAAAGTATACTATTTTTTATAACATGCAATATTATCGTGATTTGTTAAAATTTCCCTAACAAGGAACAATAAACAATGTTCTCTTTAAGATAATGTAACACATATGCAAAAATGATGGCAAAAATATACATATATTTTTCTCATATAGAAAAAGTAAAATTTATAAAAGTTCCCGCATTATACGCCTTTAATGCGGGAACTTTTTCCACGATCGCGAAAAAATAATATCATATTCCTTAACATCTGTTCACGCCCTACAAGGTCTTGCTATGGTATTTTTGATATTTGCAAAAAGTCATTACCCTAATGTACATTTATCGCACAGTTGCTTAAGCTGACTTCAGCTAGTGTATGCATATTATAGTTAGAAATTAAGAGTTTTTCCATATCTCTCATTAAGCATTCCTAATTTGACAGAATTCTAGAAACAGTTCATGTATTAAATAAGTTTGTGAAAAGTTTAGTCCTAATGAATTAAGAAATATTAATATGGTAAACATTTTGTTACAATAAAATGCATATTGAGCCCTTTTCGCAAATATGATAATAATTTTTATATTTCGTTTATTTAGAAATCATTTTCATCTCTGAAAATTTCGTAGCTATAGATGCATTATTTTATTATGTGAGTATAATAGTTAAATTTTGTGAATTTCGGAAGTCGGTCCTGTATATGGACTCTTTATGAATCAATACTACCAGAATTTACTCATTTATTAAATTTTCGCTGAATTGTACATATTATCATATATGGATATTAATATGGACACCTGAGTGATTTTATGGTCCGAGGTCTCTAGAATTTAAACGAGTGATTATTTTCAAAGAACAAATAGTTCTTGCAGATTTGTTGACTATAAACCATACAGCAGAAAGTAATATTTTCTTTCCAATCATTATGTGTTTTTGCTGTCCATGCACTAAAAAAAAGAAAAGTTTGTAAAATTTTTTAGTGTAGTGACTACACTACTTTAAAGTGTATTAATTACATTTTTTCAAGATTTATGTCGTCCCAAATCTTGAAATATTTTTTTAGGTATTTAATGATAACACTAGTTTACAAATTAGAATGAAACACATACTTTTGGAAAGGGCTATATTCGATGATTAATTAACAATTTTTATCTTTTCCTATATGTAAAAATTTCGAAATAAAGAGGTTCTAATTTTGCATCATCCTTCAGGAGTGCATTCTGGGCCAGAAATCAAATTTTTTGGCCAAAAGTCCAATTCAGGTAGGGAGGAAAATTAGTTTTGAATTCTTAATCTGGAGACTTTCGAGTTTATACTTGTAAATTTTTTTATCATGAGTTACTGTTTTTACTCATGAGTTACTGTTTTCAAATGGCATGAGGTCACAAATGTCCAAAAACTATATATATAGGGAATTAAAAATAACAAACTGGTGCTTAAAACAAAAGTAAAATTGGTTAGCTTTTTAAATATTATTAGTAAAAATTTGTTATTTAAACCTCAAAAATATGAATTTTTCCAAAAACTTAAACTTTCAACACCTAGTGCCAAACAAAGGATATTTTAATGATAATAGAACCAATGTGTTCCTTGAGATGTTCTCTGTCTAGAATTTTGCGACCATTTATAAATTGTCGGTAATATAAAAATAGTCTTTCAAACTAAACAAAGCCTTATTTATATGTATGTAATATTTATTTACTACGTAGATACACTGCTCTACTTATTGCCAAAAACAAATATTTGGCTATGTTTGATCCGCCATATTGGATTTAGTTTATTAAATTTTAAAAATCTTAATTCGCGTTTGTTATCAGTGATAAAAAATCTACAATACGTGTTCATCAGATATTCCAGTCGGTCAATTTTTAAAAATGTTGACCGCCATTTTAGATTTCTTGCAAAATCTTAATTTGTGTCCCCGAAAACCTTATATGTGATATTTATTTATTACGTAGATCCAATGGTCTACTTATTGTCCAAAAATTTCATTTTATGCTATTTTTGATCCGCCATATTGGATTCAGTTATTAGATTTTGAAAAGATCTACAAAACGTGTTCATTAAAAATTTCATTAAGAATTTTAGAAATTTTTAACCGCCATTTTGAACTTTTATTTTTTCTTACTAAATCTATTTATTTATTACGTAGATCCACCGCCCTAATTATTGCCAAAATATTGGATTTCTGGCGCAGAGTGTAGTGCTGTTAAAATATTTAAAAGTGAAGCAAAGAAATGCAATAATATAAATTTTAGGGACTTTCTTAATCCACTTTTTTACTTATTTTTATTTTTACCAAATTTTTAGTAATGTTTTTGTTACGTTTTTTTTTTTTTAATAAAAGAAGACAATTTTCGAAAATATTATAAATTTTTGGAAATGGCTACGTACAGTAGTTAATTAACAAAAATTTTGAGATAAAGAGGTTTTAATTTTACATTATCCTCCAGGAGTGTTGGTAAAATATTTGAAAATGAGTATTTTTAAAAAATTTAAAGAAATAATTTCGAAAATATTAATCACAATTTCTTTCAGAATTACAAAATTACAGATTTGACTATATTCCTCATAATTCATTTAATTAAAAAAAGAAAATTTTCAAAAATATATTACATTTTTGAAAATAGCTACGTCCAGTAGTTAATTAAAAATGTTTATTTATTTTCCTGTACGTCAAAATTTTGAGATAAAGAGGTTTTAATTTTGCATCATCCTCCAGGAGTGTTGGTAAAATATTTACAAACTTACGGATTTGACTATATTTCTCATAATTAATTTGTTACATTATCATTTACATTTTTCTAGTCTATAATTACAATAATAAATTTTAGCAGTCCAACACCATGGACGGACACAGAACCCCAAAATATTGCAGAGCAACGTGGGCCTTTTACAGTTGGTTTTAAGTTAGATAATTCCAAGGCATCTCCAAGCTTTCGCCATATCATTTGACGACCATCTGAGCCAAAAATATTATATTTGTTCTAATCGTCGAAGGTAACCTCCTTCCAGAATCCAATATTCTTACTTATGAGTCTATTTGCGGAGTCAAGACACTTAACATCGATTAACTTCGATATGAGCGGTTTCCACCTTGGTACTTGACCATGCAAATTATTGCTTCCTAGTACTTTGCGCACAATTTCGACACTCATTTTTATTCACAGGACTGTTCTGAGTTCGTTGTTAATTTTTGGAGCTGACAGATGAACGTTCCTTCGGTATTTCCTCAGTATTTCTCTGTCGTCCTGTATTCACAGCAGTTTTGGACGACTTGATAATGGTAAATACTCGATGGAATTCTTTGTTCCATGCGTGTAATGACAAAATATATTGTTGACGGGAATATATCAAACATTTCCTATATGTATTTAATTGATCGGCCTTGATTATATATTAATTTTTTAATTTGAATTGATCAACTCTCTATCAACTATACATACATACATACATACATACATACATACATACATACATACATACATACATACATACATACATACATACATACATACATACATACATACATACATACATACATACATACATACATACATACATACATACATACATACATACATACATACATACATACATACATACATACATACATACATACATACATACATACATACATACATACATACATACATACATACATACATACATACATACATACATCCAGGGTAGCACATATTTTCAACTCATTACTTAATTATATGAAAATATTCAGGAATATATTCAGGAAAATAATATATAATTATACCCTCACATTAAAAAGGCCTTTTTATAACGAATTTTTTGTTTTGTATCTATTACTGACTTAATTGTAAACTTATCCTTAACTTTCTTTCTCGTGTAAGCTTGTTAAGATGTTTATTTAGAAAGAAACTGTTTTGGCTTTTAATTACTATGTTTTTATTGTTTTGTTTCTGGTGCAATGAAAAACAAAATTAATTGGTAACCATAGACTCTTTTGATATACTTTTGCTCAAGTTGAACTTATGTTATGGCAGGATATCTTATTCTTAGGGCCAATCTTTAGGTGAAAGATTAGCGATTAAATTAAAATTAATCCTCGAAAGATGTTTTTGAGTACTCAATTAGTTAATTTTGTTTGCAAGTTTAAGCGCCCAATGGAGGTGGTTTAAACTTAAGCACGAAATGCAAAAGTGTAAACAGCTGATGCAAAAAATTAATACTATTTTTACAAATATAAACATTAAAATGTTCTATTTTTGATTAGTATAAATTATTAGTATAAATTATTATTGTCTTCTTCTTTTTTATAAAATATGCATTGTTTTGATAACAAACAGTGACGTTTTCTGTTGTTTTGTATGGCAAAACTGCGAAGTTTAATCTTGCATTCAAAAACATCAAAGAGGATTAACATAAGATTAAATTTATTTTTTGATTAACTAATCTGATTATTAATTGACATTTGATTGTCATCTCAAAAACTCGCTCTTAGAGTTTCTAATTTCCCGGACTTTTTTCATTCCCGGGAATTGATTTAAAAAAAATATTTATTACCTGGAATTCCCGGGAAATTTATAAAATTTTTCAATACATAATAACCTGCAACATTTTAAAGAAATATTGTATTTTATCTTAAGTTTTCGATATTTCTGTATCATTAGAAAGTGGTAAAAATTATATTTAGTTTTTATGAAATAAAATTATATTTATTTTATATAGTTATGAACATTTCCTATAAAGAAATATATGATTTACATTAAGATTATGAACTCTTTATAATTTGAAGCTATTTCACAAAATGTCATTGGAAAGGTAAATTAATTCCGTATAATAAAATAATTTTGTTGTACCTTTTATGTTTCTCCATATATTCTTCCAGTTTAGCATTATTTAATAGTGTCTCCAAAAGCAAATTTGGTGTTTGATTTTGTAAGAATTCAAGAATTTTTGGAACACTATTTTCAATTATTGCTAAATGGGACGTGCCGGATGCAGTAGCAGTGGGGTTAGCAGTAGAACATGTAAATACATTTTTATTATCATCGCAAATTGCAGCTCTTTTTGATTTTAAGTATTTATTGTTATTATATAATTTCCTTTTTTTATCTTGACAAGAACATGTGCAATATTGTGGTTGTGAAAGAGCAAGAGTCGGTGATTTGTTAATGTTAGGGTTGCTGATGTAATTGGAAAGCGTTGTTTTGAAAGGCATGCTCATTTTTATTTTCTGACCTGCATTTAGTTTTCTCTGAGTATGATACTTCGGAAAAGCTTTCATAGACTTTTGAGATTTTTTTTTACTTGTTTTAGTATTTAAGGGTTTAAATTTCTTGGCAACTTCGCCGTAAAGTATATCACTTTCAGTGTATTTGTTGAAAGTAGAAGAGGCAGAGAACAAAGTTTGTTTCATTTTTGTTTCCTTCAGCCCCAAACGGTTATCATGCTGAAAATATTGTTTAGTTTTTGCTATCGTTTTGTGTTTTAAGACTTGAGTGGTTGTTGAAGTGGACAAAGATGATGAACAAGCCTCATTTCTATGTGACTTCTTACGTCTTTTACGACGCTTTTTAGGCTTCGCAGTAGCATGATAATTTTGAGTTATGACGGATTGAAATTTTTGTTGTAAAGATGACAGCATAGTTATAGTTTTTTAGTAGATTTTAAATTAAATTGCGTATAACAATGTTATACAGTGTTATATTATTAATTTTTTATTGTTTTTTAAATTACATTGTTAGGAAGACGTTGAATTATTAATTTTTTTTATGTTATAGTATTTTTATTTTTAAGTATTTTCAATACTTATTTTGGAAGACTTTGGATTAATTATATATTTTATGTATTACATTAAATTAGTGATTATTAATATTTTACTAAGAATCTACATGACAGTTTTTGTTCTATATCTTTGAATGCAGTTATTATTAACTTCGGTCGATTGTGAATATTAGAATATAAAAATCTTCATTAAAAATATCGGGTACAATTTTATTACTTTCTCGAATTATTTTTTAATATCGTGAAATGGAAGACGCGAATTTGTTGATGTTGAATTATTAATTTTTTTTATCTTATGGTAATTTTATTTTCAAGTATTTTAAATACTTTTTGGAAGACTTTGGATTAATTGTATGTTTTATGTATTACATTAAATTTGTGATTATTAATATTTTATTTGTTTCTTTTTTTTATATATATATATATGTTAGATGTTAAATTTCATATTATATTTATTAATAAGTTGAATTTTTTTATCATAATTTTTACCAATTTGCAAAACATTAATATTAATGCTATCATTTATTTATTACATAATAGTTTGTTTAAATAATTGTTGATGCAAAATTAACAATTGCTAATTCACTCTTTGTAATTTGTCATAGCACGAAACTTCGCATGAAGATTAATGATTACTTATTTTTAAATTTTGGTTTGAATTCTTTAACGTTTTATCAAAGAATATCTTATTTGGTTATAATTGTCTATTTTTCATATTTTTTAAAATGTTAAGTTTTCATACATACGTATATATCCTTTAAAAAGTTTATTATATAGTATTTTCAAGGACACTTAGTTATTTAAATAAGTTTTTTTGTATGTAAATGTCAGTTTTTAATATCAACTTTTAATTTTATATTTTTTAATGAATTTGGTTTTTTATTGGATGTTTTATTGTTCCAATAATATTGGATTTATAAATTATAGATACAATAATTTCATATTAATGTATTTCATAGTATTTAATTCGTTTCCAGTTTGTTTATGGTTAAATAATGTTTGAATGAATTACATTATTTTTTAAATTATTTGTTGTAAATTGATGGTTTATATTCCATTAAAGAAAATTTATAATCTTTGTCATTATTACTAATTTTATAATTTTATTCAATATATGGAAGACTTGTGTACAGATTTGTCACATAAGTTATAGGAGTTACATTTTGCATTTAAAATATTTTCTTTTATTATTATTTTGCCATTATAAGCATAGTTATATTTGCTGTTCACAGCAATAATCCATTTTACATATTTGCTGTTCTTTTCTTATTGTATTTAATTCAAGGGTGGTTTAAAACGGGCGAAGGTACAAACAATAACTAAAAATTATATATTGTATTAAACACGGCGCATTTAAAATTGTGTTCATTTTTTTAGAATATACATATCATATATTCTAAATTAACATTTATTTTCATAGTTTTAACAATTTAATTTTTTATTAAACACATTTTTTGATACATAAATATTTTTCAATAGTAATGATTTAGCCCCGTCAGACTGTAGTATGCTAATTATTGATTTTTCACATTTATATATATTTTTAGTATTTTTTATAACTTTTTTATATTTTTTATATTAATCTTCTTATAGTATTTATTGCTCATTTAATTATTCTTATAATTCCTTAAAAAGTATTTTTATTTTTCGCATTTTAATCTTTTGCTTTTGGAAGACATGTTATAACTGCGAAAAAAATTCTGTCTATTCATCAAATATACACTTTTCTCTAAACTCACCATACCTTCGAGTTCTCAATTGTGTGTTTTAAAGGATGTTGCAAAATACATAAAAATGTTCGAGAGATATTTTCTTGTATATCGTGGTTGTTTTATTTCAATAAGTTATTTAAAGGTAATACGTATCCTGTCTAGTCCATTATACAATACTCTCTGAGAGCAGTTTTTGTCGTAAAGCTCAGAAGACTTGTTTAACGGGCATAATGCACAATTTTATTATTATAATTTCAAATCAATGTTGATTGAATTTACATAAGTAAAAAATAAAAAATTAGAATTGTTTTAATCTATTTTCGTACCTATTATTATTTAAACGCCGTACAAAAAGTATAATTTTTTTTGCAAAATTCTTAAACAAAGACTAGCTTTATTTCAATATTGATTATTTCAGTGTTTTAAGAAATTTCGTACCTGTTAATATTTAAACGCCGTACAAAAAGTATCAAGTTTATTTGCAAAATTCTCAAACAGGGACTAGCTTTATAAGAATATTGATTATTTCAGTGAAAACTATTTGAAATGAAAATTAAAACATTTAAACAGTTTAAATTATATAATAAAAATATAAAGTAAATAAAATCAAGAACAACTTTTCTTTAATAACTATCACTATTTCTTTAAAAAACATTAGATAATGCCAATTTTTATTGAAATTTTAAAAATCTGTGTAAAAAATAATACTCACGTTATTCTACCAAATTCATCTTTTGGCAAGTCCGTTTTTCCTTGTCCCATTAATTTTTGCCTGTAGGAATCTACTTTGGCCTTGATTTCATCCGATGATAAACTATAAAACACAAAAATTATAACATTCAATTTGGTGTTAACAAAAAACAACGTTTTTTTAATTTATAAACTGCTATTCAACTTACTTTTAAACAATTTTTATAAATATATGTATATTGTTAAAAAAAAGCTGTGTTGTTTTATACTTAAAATTGGTATTTAAATTTATTTGTTATAGTTCGGTTCGATTTCTTTGTTTTAATACTAGCAATATCTAATAAAATATTTTCTAATATATTTTTTTTAAATGTTCTTCGTTGAACGTTTCTATCGATTATGAGGTGTGTTGACTATTTTATGTATTATAGTGTTGTAAACATGCAATCGAAAGCACAAATATACAAAGAGAGACCATATTGCACTATTCAACCCTTAGGAGAAATAATGTTTGTTTGAAATTTGTTTTTTTTTTTAATGGTGGAGGGGGAGAAAAATGGAAATTTGTTTACAAATAAGCGAAAGGCGAATGAAAGTGAACAGTTCATTTTAGGGGAAGTAATATCAAAAAAATAAATAAATTTAGCTGGAAAGAAATCTTACAACTCATTTTAGAGAAACAAATAATAACGTTCTTTGTGCCGCGTTACTGGCCCCAAATTTGACCTATATCACTGTCCACGTAATAATATAAAACTTTACCAAAACAATCTAAAGACCCACAGTGATTCATTCCATAGACAAAAATATGATGGAGGTTAGTACTATTGGATAGTTGGCCAGACACAAATTTTGAAGAAAAAAATTTAAAAATGCCAAAAAAAGAAATTTTTTTTGAAACAATGAAGAAATACACTTTTAATGTTTTTACTTTTTGATGCTCTAAGCATTTAATTATTAAAGAGATGATGTTGTTTTGGTGGGGAACTTTTTTTATTTATACATATTTTTTTATATTTAATTTTGTAATATAAATATCTATGAATTTGACATAGTACTTACTTGTAATACTTAATTTGGCCAGAAGGCTTTTGTATTATTAGTTGAATAAATGAAATAAATAAATAAAAATAGCTGTCGGAACTCGTTTGGACAATTTTTGCTAAGACCAACAGGTGAAAAGTTACACTCATTTGAATAAAACCCTGTATGACCAAAATGTCCCACTTTGAGTTTGGCAGTTCTTGACCGATGCAGCTGAAAATTTGTGCCTGACCTACTATCCCATATATATTCCGGATCCTTATTGATAGCGGAGTAGATTAAGCCATGTACGTTAAAGAATTTCATGTAGGAATTCCACTCAATCGATGCGTATTAATGTACTGAACACGAGAAAAATAAAAATTATTTTTTTGGAATGGTCCTCAGTTCCCTACCAGAGGAAATGGGTGTACAAACTATAGGAACAATCTTTCCCTAATGGACAGAAAATGTCCGGCTTGGGAGAAAGCGCTGGCATTGAATAGAATTATGGTATTATTAGTTGAATAAATGAAATAAATAAATAAAAATAGCTGTCGGAACTCGTTTGGACAATTTTTGCTAAGACCAACAGGTGAAAAGTTACACTCATTTGAATAAAACCCTGTATGACCAAAATGTCCCACTTTGAGTTTGGCAGTTCTTGACCGATGCAGCTGAAAATTTGTGCCTGACCTACTATCCCATATATATTCCGGATCCTTATTGATAGCGGAGTAGATTAAGCCATGTACGTTAAAGAATTTCATGTAGGAATTCCACTCAATCGATGCGTATTAATGTACTGAACACGAGAAAAATAAAAATTATTTTTTTGGAATGGTCCTCAGTTCCCTACCAGAGGAAATGGGTATACAAACTATAGGAACAATCTTTCCCTAATGGACAGAAAATGTCCGGCTTGGGAGAAAGCGCTGGCATTGAATAGAATTATGGTATTAGAAAACCTAAGCATAAGAGAGGCAAGAACCAAATACGCAGGCATAATTGGCGGTAACAGATTCGAGATTCTAGAAGAAACCGATGTAGATTCTGCCTTCCCTCAACTCCCCACAAAACCGGACAAAATTATTAAATAATAGCGAATCGGTAAGGTACATGTACATACATAAGACCCAGTCTTTTGCTAAAACCTTGAACCTTTCTTCGAACGAATAAAAAATTTACAATGTAGAATAAAGAATAATTCGAACAATTTTTGTCGATTGATCAAATATTTGAATGTTACATTTTACGAATATTTTATTATACATAGCATTGAAATTATGTTAATATTTTGTAAAACAAACCTAAATAAAAAGATATGTTATAATTGAAACAAAACTTTTACTACTTTTTGCAAATAATAAAAATTTTAGTTTTACAATGTTAAAAATAAAATGGTTCTAGTTTTGAAAGTGATTCTCTTAATTTTTTTAAATGTTTGCAATAAGTGAAACAGATAAACATTAATTAATTTGGTTCTATAAGTGTCTGTCTTTTCATAAGAAAGTCATCAATTTCTAAATATACTGAAGCCTGTTTTATGGGCAAGAAGATACCGGTGATAGATAGAGTGTAACCCTTCACCGAAAATTAATATGTATAGGATCAAAAAGGCACATCGGCGCTGGGCGATATGTAGGAGAACTGTTGGCATGAAATGGGGTCTTAGTTCTACTATGACATATTGGTTTTATAAAAGTTTAATCCAATAATACGGTTGACTTCTTTGGACAAAAAGAGTAACAACAGGGAGTTCAGCGAATATGCTGCTTGGGTACAAGTGATGTCACAAGCACATCGTCAAGCAAGGCTCTAAAAACATTGCTTGATATTCCACCTATTGAAAAATATTTAAGATATGAGGCGGCACTTACAACTCAACGACTCATAACTTTAGGTGAACTTGTCAAAAGCGGTTATGGGACACATCATCAATGTATACTGGATACATTGGAAGGCTGTAAACAATCGTCGGGCGTGCCTGATCGCATACCAGACACAGAATATGTAGGAAACTTTGAAACACTGAGCCAAGTGGAACATTTTTCACGAACACTGATTGGGAAATTCTTAGGAATTACGGCCAGTTTGAGTTTCAGAATATTGAAAGATAATACATTCAGTGGACACTATGTTGTTTTTATTACCAACAAAACTTTTTCTTTCATGGAAAGCAGCGCACAACAGGCCCGATAGTAGCCTGTTTATAATACATTAATAAATAGTACGATTTTCTTATATAAAACAGTTTGTAAAAACCAAAAACTACCAAAATATAGTTTTTACCGATTTACTCCTAAAATGAACCGAATTTCGAAAAAGTACCAGACACCTGCCCGCTTATTTTTTTAATAAACAACGACAAGTGTAACGTTTTTGTTTTATCTCTTTTAGTTTAGGAGATATTTACAAATTTACCCGTTTTTACCTCCTAAAAATTTGAATTTCCAAAAATCCCTTCTTAGTGGATCTTTGCATGATCTACATGCATGTATGGATGCGTGTCAAAGATTTAAGGAATTTTAAATATATTGTTGTATACAAATTGTTAATACTAAAATAATTTTTTGTAAAGATAATGTAATTTGTTAAATGGTTAAAGTGAATTTCGGGAAAGGATCTAGTATGGGAGCACGACTAATTATAGACCGATCGTAAAAAATTCTTACAGTAACATTTCTGTATATTAAAGCTATATTTCAGTAAAATTTTGCATCTATATCTTTATAATATATATAAATAATGTGTGTTTAAGTGATTTTCGGACGGGGAAATTGCACCAATATTTTTGTATACAAAACAGGATAAGGATATCATTATTTGGTAATGAGTAATGTGCGTTCAAGAGATTTTCGGAAGAGGACCTTGTATGGGAGCTAAGACCAATTATGGGCCGATCGTTTTACATTAACATTAATATATACATATGTATGTATGTACATAAAGGCAAAATTTTGGCTAAGGAAGGGCACCTTGGTCGTAGCTCAAAATTATTCTGTGTATAAAACTAATATTTCTGCCAAATCAAGCTCTCGTATAGAAACGAATGTATGATGATTTTCATGGAACTATATTGCATAGTTTTCGTAAAAATTCCATCAGAATGTGCAAAATTGGCTTATTTTTCGCAGTATTTTTAAATTTTTATTCATAACTTTTCCCGATGTGAACCGTTTTTTCTCATTTTCATTTCAACAATTTAGAAAAATGAAGAACATTTTGGGTTAATTTATTTTATTTTATTTATTTTATTTAACAATATTCAATAACCTAGCCTATAGGCCATAAGCGGTTACAAATTTCTACTTCACAATAATTCCTCCAATACAAAATACATAATTATATATAAATAAAATTACACCTAATTTTTTTAAAAAAGATAATATACTATATAAAATAACGATAGGACAATTAAAATGTACCGCATTGATCATAAATAAATTCCTACATAATTTGCAATCAAACAAATGTAATTCAAAGAAGCAAAACAGGTTAAAATAAAGAAAAGTATATGTAGAAATCATAAACAATCCCAATGAACTCACAGAACCAATCAATATGTCATACAGGAACTATATGGCAAATAACACTCCAGACTGTAAAGGACATAGGTAATACAAATCAGACAGAAACATGAAGCTATAAAACACCTATCAGTTGAACCTTCTGTGAAGAAATATAAGTCAATTGTAAGAAAGTTTTAAACTACCCCAAAAAATATCAACTCATGTAAAAGAATTTAAATACCAAAATTACCAATCAATTACATAATAAAAATTTCAATACTAACTTTAAAAGAACAAAGTGAAAGACAATTCCTTAAGAGCAAAAATATATAATAGCAGAAAAAATCCTCACAAACACAAAACTCCATGCATACAATGACAGTCGCAAATCACCTTCCATCAAAACAGTCACAAGTAAATTCATCCAAATCAGCAATATTGACTGAGCAATCACAACATCCTTAAACCACACAACATTCCCCCATTTCAAAGCTAACAGAAATTTTCCAAAATTGGCAAACAATCTCAAAAAAAATCATATCACAAATCAGTCAATACTAGATAAAAAACCTATGCATATTACTTGCAA